GGCTAAGTTTTGTTCTGATTCATATATTTTTTTATAATTGTTGTTTTGAGATCTAATTCATATAGAATAAGATTCACCCTGTTAAAGTATACAATTACTTGGTTTTTTATATATTCACAGAGGATTATAACCATCACCACTATCCAATTCCAGGACATTTTTATCACCCTAAAAAGAAACTCTGAATCCATTAGAAATCACTGATTCTCTTTTCCCCCAGCTTCTGGGAACCACTAGTCTTTTTTTTTTTTTTTGGTCTGGACATTTCATATAAATGGAGTCATATAATACATGGTTTCTTGTGATTAACTTCTTTCACTTAACATGATGTTTTCAAGGTTCATCCATATTGTAGCAGGTATCAGTACTCATTCCTTTTTTATGGACAAATAATATTCCATTATATGGATATACCACATTTTTCATCAGTTGATGGACATTTTGTTTCCAGTTTTTGACTATTATCAGTAATGCTGTTATGAATATTTGTTTTTTCTTGTTTGTTAAGAATATTTGTATACAAATTTTTATGTGGATATACGCTTTTAGTTCTCTTGGGTATATACCTAAGAGTAGACTCGCTAAGACATGCAGTAAGCTCTGTGTTTAACTTTTGGAGGGACTGCCAAACTGTCTTCTAAGTGACTGTACCATTTTACAATCCCACCAGCCATGTGAGTATTTTGATTCTCTACATTCTCACCAATAACTTATGTTATCTGTTTTGGTTTCACCCATCATAGTATTTGTTAAGTGGTATGTATCTTTGTGGGTTTTATTTGCATTTTCCTAATAATTATCTTTTCATGTGCTTACTGTCTATTTGTGTATCTGCTTGTAGAAATGTCCCTTTACTTCCTTTGAATATTTTTAGTATCAGATTGTTTCTCTTTTACTGGGCCTCCCTAGTAGCTAAGTTGGCAAAGAATCTGCCTGCAATGCAGGAGAGCAGGGTTCAATCCCTGAGTCAGGGAGATCCCCTGGAGAAGAAACTGGCAACCCACTCCAGTACTGTTTCCTGGAGAATTCCGTGGACAGAGGAGCCAGGCAGGCTCCAGTCCATGGGATTGCAGAGTCGGACATGACCGTGTGACTGACTTTCACTTTCACTTTTTAAACTATTGACTTTTAAGAGTTCTTTGTATATTCTGGATACAAGTTCCTTGTCAGATTTTTAAATATTTTCAAATTCATGATTTTCAAGTATTTTCTTCCATTCTGTGGGTTGCGTTTTTACTTCCTTGATGATATCCTTTGAAGCACAGTTAGTTTTGATGAAATCCAATTTATTTTTTTCTCTCATAGGCAAAATTTTCACAAGCATTCAATGGCATTATAATTCCTTTTTGTTGACTCTTTCCATATTTTATAATTTTTCCCCTCAAAATACTCTGGCCTTAATGGATATTAACAACATATTGTTTTATCAAGCTTCTTATAAATGTTTGTCAGGTATTGTTAGGTATTCTAGCATCCAGATGTTTCTAATAATAAAACATTGAGGAAAACCTTGTGAAAAAATTCCTATTACAATGCTATATGTCCAATTAAATGCTTTCATTGGGAATATAATTTGGCATGTATGGTCTGGATTTCCAGGGCTCAAGTGTAGGAAGTTGAAACGGGTTAGGAAAAAGAGAAACCTCATAGATTGCCATTTTCCATAATGTCCTTCATAAATAATATCCTTATCAGCATCTCCTCCTCTCTTTCTCAGCCTATAGGAATTGTTTTCATTCTGAGGTACTGAATATGAGCACTGAGATAACCAGTAAAGTATTTTAATACAGTGATGTAGCTTTATTACAGGGGTGGTTGCTATTGTTATAACGTAAAAAGGCTTGTAGAAACTTTATTTGATGTAAACTTTGTTAATAATAGCTTATACTTACTTAGTACTTAATATGTGCCAGATGCAAGTACTTTATATATATTATCTGAATGACTGTTTCACAAGAACTCTTTGAGGTAAGTAATATAATTTTCTCCATTTTTCTATGTGAGGAAACAGGTATAGAGCAGTAACTTCTTCATGGTTTCACATTTAATAAGTTGTGAAGGTCAGATTCATCTTCAGACAGCTTGATTTCAGAGTCAAGTTTTAAATCATAACCTCTGTACTGACAGCTTTAAACCTGCCACACTCACCATAGTAAAGGATAACCCCAAGGGTTGAGCAGTGTCTCTTCTTGCCTCTATGTGCCCTGTACTTTTCAGGAAATCATCTCCTATTCATTGAATAGCTTGTACCTGTGTGCCTCCTGAATGAGGAGGAAGAGTCTGACCTGCTGCAATGTTCCTGACTCTTTAATTATCATATATTTCAGATCTCAGTGGGAAGTGGAGAAGCATAATCTGGAAAGCACGATTAAAACGTACTTAAACAAACTGAATGCAGAAACTAGCAGGGCTTTAACAGCTGAGGTAAAAAAAAAAAGAGAGAGAGAGATGGAGTTGGGGAGGGAAGTTTTACTTGTGTACTAGTATACTAAAGAATTTTGAAAAGATTGTTTTTTGAATAAACAGAATTAAGACATCTTAGGACCAGCCAGAAAAACGCAGTTCAAACTCTTGTGCTTTTTTTTTTGACTCATTGGCATTTTGTATGTTTACTTGAAGGTTGATGATCTTATGTTGTTTTCCCCCAAATGACTCCCAAGAAATTGGTTTGCTTCAATAAATATAGCGTACTGATCTTGGAAAATTCTCATTAAACTAGGTGACTGAGCCAAATGTGTAAGAATAATATTTCACTGCTGGTATAATAAATCCTTTCTTTACTGTTTAAATGTATAAATATTTCAAAACCACACACATTCACCATACATTCCAGTCAAAAGCTAACTTACCTCTTCCCCTAGAAAGTCATCCAGTCCTCCTAAGTTATTTTTGAACACCACAGCTAAGATTTCTCAAAAGAAATGCGATTTTATGTATTGTGTAATTTTTATTTGTAGATAACCAATCTTGATGTACAATAAAATTCAAATTTTTGGAGAGCTCATTGATATTAAAATCATCACAAACCTTCTCACCTTTGTCATGGGTAAGGTCTATTTTTAACAGAGTACTCTGAAACCCAGAGCTCAACAATCAAGGGTTGATATCTGCACCAAAAATCCCGGAGAGTGATGTATTGGAGTATTAAATTTAACTGGGGAAAGAAAACAACCTCAGATTACCTTAAGAACTCAAGTTTGTAGACTTTTTCACTGCTTTTAATTGGAAAGTTTCTACTTAGATTATTAATTTTAGAAACACTTAACGCTGTCCAAGAGTATAGTAAGCTACTTTCAGTGAATATTGAGTGATCCATAGAAAAAAACAAAGGCCAAATGGCCATGCATCAATAATACTTGGAGAGACATCAGACTAGATGACCTCCAAGCCCCATTTGGGTGGCATAGTCCTATATGGTCTCATTGTTTTCTTACTCCTTCATCAATTAAAAAATAAAAATTAAATAGCAGGACTTCTTTTTGAGTGTTCTTAAACTTTGCTGCATAATCTGAGAGCTTTTAAAAACCCCATTTACCAGGCTGCACCTAGAATCAATTACATTAGAATCTCTGGAACCAAAGCACCATTTTTTAAAGTTTCTGAGATGATTCCATTGCATATGCAAGTTTGAAAACTAATGTTCTAAAATGTTTATCAACCAAGTAACTTTTGAATAAAAATAGTAGAACTTCAGGATTGATCAGAGAGCTTTAATGTGTTATGGTCGGAAAAGAAGCTCAGGTGCTATTAGAAGAGATTTTTTAAAATAGCTTTAAATTTACTTGAAATGTTTGAAGAAAAATGTGTTCTTCTGGGTCTTCCCAGTGCACCAGGCCCGAGCACTTGTCTCATGCACCCAACCTGGGCTGGTGATCTGTTTCACCCTAGATAATATACATGTTTCGATGCTGTTCTCTTGAAACATCCCACCCTCGCCTTCTCCCAGAGTCCACAAGTCTGTTCTATACATCGGGTGGAGAGGATGGGGAATACATGTAAATCCATGGCTAATTCATTTCAATGTATGACAAAAACCACTGCAATGATGTAAAGTAATTAGCCTCCAACTAATAAAAATAAATGGAAAAATTAAAAAAAAAAAAGAAAAATGTGTTCTTCTATAAGGGCACCTTTCACTTCTTTCTCTTTCTCTCACAATTCTGTAGGTATATTTCCTACAGTGTCGTAGAGATTTTGGTTTGCTGCACCTAGAGCAGACTGAAAAGGAATGCCTCGGCCAGCTCGCCAGGGCGACTCACAGGGCAGCAAGGTAACCTCCCACTTCCTTGGTGTGTCTTGAGCTCTGAGATCTCATGGGCGGCTCCGAGGTCGGACATAATATGTGTTGTGTTTTACATATATGACATAAGAATCTTTGGGATGAGGAAGCCATTTTTTTTAAACCTCAGATGTCGTTTAATCACTTTGAGCTTTTACTCTGTTGCTCCTGTGTAGCACGGAGCAGTCCATTAAGTGCAGTAATAGCTGCTAGTGGATTTTCCCTTCCTCTGCAATGAAGCAGATCAGAAGTCTCGGTCAGAGACGTGCATAAAGACCAGATCTTTACAAAACAAGGTGGATTCCAACTGGAAAACTTTTTCTAATTCTTTTCTCTTACTGCTTAATTTTAAATGCCTTTGGAAAAATACACTGAGGGAAAATCAGCATTAATACCTAAAACATTAATATCTTTAACACCTGTGTTAAAGACAGTTTGTTACTGTGCTACAAATGAATGGTTTTCAAATTTGGGGCAGGTTGCATGGGATTCTTTTTCAATTTGTAATTTTACCAGGTGTACCTTTAAACTTAAGGAATTAATTGAGTTAAAAATCTCTGGGACCAATGCATCACTATTTTTAATGATTATTATTTCAATATAATCGTCATTATTCTTCAGTTCTGAAGAATCAGAATCTCTGATGTTTAACAAGATTCCTAGTATATACTGATGTACGTTCAGGTCAGCAAAGCACTGTTGTAAGTGATCAATCTGTCTTTGCTTCCTCAAGGGGGAAATGATGCTCTATAAATTAGAATATTATCAAGCTTCTTTGTATGAGATGGTCTCAGTAATAACTTGTTAGGCTCTTTTAAAGTTGTTGTGCTAGGTGATTCTGGGGTGGGGATGTTACAACAGATAGAACCTTCTGAAAGGCCACATGAAATCTCTTTTCTAGAGATACCAGACCCTAAACACCTTAAAACTGTTTACTTAAGCCATTTGGTGGGCTGCTTGGCAGAGCTGCTGTGTCTGTGCAATTTATACATTTTATAGAGACAGCAATCTATAATTCATCCTTGCAAAGGAGGTACTCTGTGATTTACCTTTTTGTAGGGAATATCTTTTTCTAATTTACAAGACAGCCTTATAGGCCAACCATGGCCCTCTGATGTCAGGTTAGTGTGAAAATGGTCCAAAACCTGCTTCCAGGACGAGCCAACATCTTTGAGATTGCTCGTGCACTGATGCACATGTGAGTGCCAATCCACTTCAGTCAGTCCCATGACTCTGCCCTGTAGCCAGCCTGGCTTCTCTGTCCATGGGACTCTCCAGGCAAGAATACTGGAGTGGGTTGTCATGCCCTCCTCCAGGGGATCTTCCCGACCCACAGGTCGAACCTGTGTCTCTTACATCTTCTGCATTGGCAGGCGGGTTCTTTACCCACCTGGGAAACCAAACTAGGTGGCTAGGGCAATTTCCCTACTTGGTCTTCTTTGCCTGCCTTCTTCAGTCGAGGGGTTCCTGTACAAAGGTTTTATAGTATGTCCTAAAAAATACTGCCAAGATAGAAAAAAACTTAGTGTTCTGGAAGCAGAGGTTATATCCACTGTTTAAAAAAGAAATCTTGTCTTTGTTTCCTACTCTTTTCTTAAAACTTTTAATAACAAGTCCTTTCATAAACTTTCTTCCCATTTGAGGCAACTGGTGATAGAGGTAATTTTGTTGTTGTTTTATTTACGTAAATATTAGAGAACATAATAGAAACTTTTGGAAATCTAAGTGACATATACAAAGAGCTTTCTCTTGTGTTTCCATTTTTGTACCAGCAACCTAAAATCACGTCAGTTAAAGGCTGCTGTAGACAGTTGGAATGCCATTGTGACAGATGTTAGAAACAAGATTGCATTCCTCAGGGTAAGTCAGCAAGTATTTAGAGTAAATTGACTCAATTGTGTAGATCGTATACACTTTAAAAAAATTTAATATTAAAAACGATTGGAAGAAGAGCTATGACAAACCTGGTGGTGGTTTAGTCAGAAAGTCACATCTGACTCTTGTGACCTCATGGACAGTAGCTTGCCAGCTCCTCTGTCCATGGGATTCTCCAGGCAAGAATACTGGGGTGGGTTGCCATTTCCTTCTCCAGGGGATCTTCTGGACCCAGAAATCTAACCTGGGTCTCCTGCATTGCAGGCAGATTCTTTACTGACTGAACTATGAGGGAAGCCCTAGACAGTGTATTAAAAAGTAGGGACATCACTTTGCTAACAAAGGTTCATATAGTCAAAGTTATGATTTTTCCAGTAGCCTTGTATGGGTGTGAGAGCTGGGCCATAAAGAAGGCTAAGCACTGAAGAATTGATGCTTTCGAACTGTGGTGCTGAAGAAGACTCTTGAGAGTCACTTGGACATCAAGGAGAGCAAATCAGTCAATTCTAAAGGAAATCAACCCTGAATGTTCATTGGAAAGACGGATGCTGAAGCTGAAGCTCCAATATTTTGGCCACCTGTTTTCAAGAGTCTACTCATTGGAAAAGACCGTGATGCTGGGAAAGATTGAGGGCAGGGGGTGAAGGGGATGACAGAGGATGAGATGGTTGGATGGCATTACCGACTCAATGGACGTGAGTTTGAGCAAACTCTGGGAGATTATGAAGAACAGAGGAGCCTGGCATGCTGCAGTCTGTGGGGTCACAAAGAGTTGGACATGACTGAATGACAACAGAAATTTAAGGAAAACATCTTTTTTCATTGCAGTTATTAAAATATCCCTTTTTGAGGTTTGATTACTTCCTTGTAGTTGGTTGTAGATCTCACCCTAACTCTAACACCTCTTCTTTCGGGTTCTTGGTTTAGTAAATGGTACATGCAAAAATTGTGCCTCACACTTAATTTTCCTAGAATTCCAAAGCTAACTGTGCCCCAGTCATAAGTGAATGTTTTAACTTTATCTGAGTAATTGTGTGTTTATAGAATTAAAAGGAAGGCCAAGAATACCTGTATTAGTTTTTAATGTTAAACTTTTTATGTAGTAATAATTACTCCCTAATGCAAAGTAATAAACTCTTAGTTATTCATGTAATAGAATTAGAACTGTACTAAAGGTAATCTGTGAAGAGGTAAACCACTGAATATTTATTAGTTTATTCATTTGTTTTTAGAATAATTTCACATTTATATCTTAAAGTTGATATATAATGTTGATTGTTTTGTGATTCCACAATATTGCCAGGAAAACACTGACATTCGGTTATAAAGAATTGCCTCAAAGCACTATCTCCTTGTCTGGCTTTGTCCTTGCTGGGCTTCCCTGTTTCTTTCCTGGATTCTTTCATCCTCAGCTCTTAGTGATGCTTAGCACTTTTATTGGGTTTATTAAAAGTTTTGTACTCAAAAGATCTGCCCTTTGTTCTCTATCATTGTTTTCTTCTAAGAACATGTCCTGTATATGAAAGTTTATGTTTTAAGACTTTTTCTTTCCACTCTTGTGGGTTGTTCACAAAGTAATATGGAAAGCAAAATGGGGACAATGCCAATAATCTAGAAAGTACGTTTTTAAACTTTAAGGTTGGGAGTCTTACTTTTGGCAAAATCCAAGAGGAAAAAAACAAAGCTATGTGAGGAACTAGAGAAAACTAAAGGTATAACTTTTAAGATAAAAAAATGTGGACATTTAATCAGTTTTTTCTAAACCTTCCTCTCCATTTCTAAAATGAACATTTACAAGTAGTTAAGCTGTTACAATACTTTTTCCCCATATTGATCAGCTAGTGTATTATTTACATCTTCTTGATCTTTAGACATTGTTTACTTTAATCAGTGATTACCATTTGGAGGCTAAAAATTATGGCAACACTGAGGAATTATCACAGAGATCTGTGAATTATGTGTCATTGTACCTTGTCACTCAATAGATATTATTAAAGACACAACTATTAGTATTTACATTTATGGAGAGTGGTGTATAGAGTTGTTTTATGTCAAAAATTATTTTTATAGTATTTCTGGCTTACTAGATTGGGAATCACTAACCTGTGTTGTGCTATTCAAAACTATATAAAGTATTTCCATATGCTATTCCTTTGAAGTTGATTTTGCTGTAAAATATTGTTTCTCTTCTTCTATTAGACACAATACAATGAACAAATTAGCAAGGTGAAGCAAGGGTTTGCCTTGAGTACATTGCCTCCAATCCAGCTTCCTCCACCACCTCCCAGTCCTGAGATACTGGTAAGAAATACAGTTGACTCTTGAACAACACAAGGGTTGGGGGGTGCCAGCCCCCCATGCACTCAGGAATCTGGGTACTGCTCTACTTGAAAACAATGAATTTGGTAAATGACTCCCCAAGAGCAGAAAGCTGAAACAGTTTGGATGGGATCAAGACTCAAACCCTAGTTTTTTGATTCCATGAATCAAATGTACACTTTCTCCACATTTAAAGACCTATAAAACGAAAATACAAGGACTATATTTGTTGACAAAAATAGGCAGATAAGTGGACCCACACAGCTCAGACCTGTTGTTCAAGGATCAGTTGCATATGATTTTGAACAGTCACCATCCTCATTTTGATAAAATGGTGAGAACTGTACAACACTGAATAAGCAGTACGTTCATGTGTCTTCAAAGTGGATAGGGCGCATGTTGTGCCTGTCACTTGTAATTATGTCCATTCCTGTTGTATCATCTACAGATGGTATGACTAGTTTGTTGGCTCAACTGAGGCCAAGAGATAGGTTGTATCATTGGATTTTAGTAATGCGTTTGATATCTAAAGAGGTAATGTATGCTCATTCATCCTGTCAACCACATTTACATGGTGGGAGAAAACTGATGAATGCTCAGAATTCCCAAATGCGCTCAAATTACCACTAGACGACTGAACCCTCTCAGCATAACACCCTATCAGGCTGGACTTCACTCCTCCACTTCCCCTTCAGACTTTGTTTCCTAAACTTTTATCTTCTATTCTTACCTTTTAACATCAAAGACAGCTTTCATTTAGGTCCCTTCCCTGACTGGCTAGGGATAAATGGGTCTTCATCAGACAAACTAATCTCTATGCCATACTGTTTATGTTAGCCTTCTGGGAAACATAGTCGGGGGGAAAGTGAAAAAAGTGAAGCATAGTACCTTAGCCCAATAAACTCATACAGCTTTCCAAAAGACCTTTTGGAACAGAACCACTCGATGATAGCTTTTATTATGATAACAGATCTGAGGATAAGAAAAAAAAAGCTGTGATATATTTAGGGGTAGATCACTTTTGACATTAGCATTTCTGCTTATAATAGAACTCTGAAAATATTATTTCTACAAATACTAGTTCAGTATATCAAAGAACTTAAAAATTATTAATATGTAAATTGTGTGGAGTTACACTGTGTTTCAAAAGCAGAATTTAGAGCTGAGAAAGTATTCTATGATACGCATGGGCTTTAGTTTAGAATGAGAGGATTGCCTTTTATATTTTTGATTAGTTCAAGTTTTACAGGAGCTTTGTATTATGGATATTTTTATTCTAGGCTTAGAACAACATCCTTGCCAATTCTTCTGATAAGGGATGTATTGCATAGATGACAAATCCCAGATTCCCTTTAGTTCTATGGGAAGTAACATAGTAGGATTTCTAGAAACTCTGTTGCCTTCTGCCTGTATTCAAACTGCTGCCTGTAGGTAGTAGTTAAACTCTCCCATGACTAAACATAAAATGGCTCCAGAGACTTGGAAGCTAGATACAGAGTTGTTCTTTGGAGTTTTCTGGAATCAGACTGGCATTAGCTGTCTGTGACAGCTATATGTGACACCATGACTGACAAACATTATCTGACCTTGACCTCTACATCCTCATCCTTTCAGAGCCTTGCTTATGTCTGATGTGGCTTTCCAGATTTAGTCAAGGGCAAAAACTCACTGGCAGTTAGGCTCAGTAAAATTCATAAGCATCCTTTGCAAACATTTAAGAGGTACATGTGTATCTTTTGTGCTTTCTAACCAGAGTCACTGCTGTGCTTGATCAGAGCTGACTTGTGTTAAAGTACAGGCGCTAGTGACCGCTGAGCATTAGGGGAGTAGTTTGAAAGCACAGACGCTGGAAATGTGGCCATTCTTTCAGTATAAACGGAGACGGTGTTGTACCGTGGACATACAGTAGAGGTCTGGGTTCAGGGCCTAACTGGAAGAACTGTGTTAGTTTGGGGAAACTCAGCTGTCCCAGGCTTCGGCTTTCCTACTGACAAATCAAGAAATTGTCCTGGGTGATCTGATCACTAACTAACAGAGAGGCAGATCACTGTCTCTCTGAAATTCTAGTATTGTAAAGAATGGTCACCAGGCTTTAAATAAATATTATGGTCTAACCTGAGAAGTCTGGAATAATGGGTACTCTTCCCAGTTTAACCCAATATTTTTATGAGTTTCATTATATTTTGATTTTTATACCCTGGCTGTCTAATTCTCAAAGTAATATTAGGTAATTGTTGTCCTCAAAAAGAGTAGGACCACTGATTCAGAACCACCATTTGTTATTTAAGAACTTTATATTACAAATATATTGAATGAACAACATCCTTGCCAATTCTTCTGATAAGGGATGTATTGCATAGATGACAAATCCCAGATTCCCTTTAGTTCTATGGGAAGTAACATAGTAGGATTTCTAGAAACTCTGTTGCCTTCTGCCTGTATTCAAACTGCTGCCTGTAGGTAGTAGTTAAACTCTCCCATGACTAAACATAAAATGGCTCCAGAGACTTGGAAGCTAGATACAGAGTTGTTCTTTGGAGTTTTCTGGAATCAGACTGGAATTAGCTGTCTGTGACAGCTATATGTGACACCATGACTGACAAACATTATCTGACCTTGACCTCTACATCCTCATCCTTTCAGAGCCTTGCTTATGTCTGATGTGGCTTTCCAGATTTAGTCAAGGGCAAAAACTCACTGGCAGTTAGGCTCAGTAAAATTCATAAGCATCCTTTGCAAACATTTAAGAGGTACATGTGTATCTTTTGTGCTTTCTAACCAGAGTCACTGCTGTGCTTGATCAGAGCTGACTTGTGTTAAAGTACAGGCGCTAGTGACCGCTGAGCATTAGGGGAGTAGTTTGAAAGCACAGACGCTGGAAATGTGGCCATTCTTTCAGTATAAACGGAGACGGTGTTGTACCGTGGACATACAGTAGAGGTCTGGGTTCAGGGCCTAACTGGAAGAACTGTGTTAGTTTGGGGAAACTCAGCTGTCCCAGGCTTCGGCTTTCCTACTGACAAATCAAGAAATTGTCCTGGGTGATCTGATCACTAACTAACAGAGAGGCAGATCACTGTCTCTCTGAAATTCTAGTATTGTAAAGAATGGTCACCAGGCTTTAAATAAATATTATGGTCTAACCTGAGAAGTCTGGAATAATGGGTACTCTTCCCAGTTTAACCCAATATTTTTATGAGTTTCATTATATTTTGATTTTTATACCCTGGCTGTCTAATTCTCAAAGTAATATTAGGTAATTGTTGTCCTCAAAAAGAGTAGGACCACTGATTCAGAACCACCATTTGTTATTTAAGAACTTTATATTACAAATATATTGAAACATACATAAAAATAGAATGATGAACCTCTGTGAACCCAAGAGCCATCTTCAACATCATAATCAACATTTTATTAATCTTGTTTCATGTTATTTCCTCCTTCCTCCCCACTGGAACATTTTAAAGTAAACACTATATATCATATAATCTCATCCATTTATACTTCAGCATGCATTCCTAAAAGATGAAGACTCTTATTCTCATTGGCTATAATCACACCACCATTCTAAGAAAATTATAATTTTTATATCTGATATTACAATTCATATTTCCCCAATTGTTTCAAAAATGTCTTTTTCTTAACTAGGTTAACAATACTTCCAATTTGGTTATAATTACCATTACTTTAAAAACTCTTATTTAAAAAAAAAAACAATCCAAACAAGGTTTATAATTTCATTTGGGTGATTATTTTTCTTTAAAATTGTAACAGCTACCCAACACCCTCTCTCTTATTCATGTCATTTATTCGTTGAAAAACTAATTTCCTGTATTATTGATGTAACTGATTACATCCTTATAATGTCATTATACATGTTCTGCTATTTCCTATAAACCGATCATAGGTCTAGAGGGTTAAATTAGAATCAGGTTCAGTATTTTTAGCAACAGTACCTTATAGGTGATGAAGTATATGCACATTAGAAGACACAGTGTCTCTCGTTTAGTGATGTTAGGAATCAAATGTCATTCTTGTCTCCATTATAAAGTTCCCGATTAATTGTCACCTTTCTGGTTTCAGTCTCGTTACTTAAGAGTGATACTGATGTTCATTTTTTAAATTCAACAAATAGGTGAACTTGTACTTTGTGCCAGTGCTAGACCCGGCGCACAGTAGATGTCCCGTAAGCGCGTGCTCTTCTGTAGTCCAGCTAACAAGGCAGCCATCCCATTGGTCGGTGCTGAGAAGGGCCAGCTTTCTACAAATCCCTGGGAAGCTCAGTGTCACCCACAGGCATGTCCACGAGTCACTGTAGGAGGGTTTATCCCCCTGGCCCGCCCTGTTTTAGCTTTCTAGTATCCTTGAAACTAAACATAAGTTCAGAACTCCACCAGGTGGTAAAAGGTCCTTTCAGTACCTAAGAGCAGAAGTAGTATTTTATGTAGATGACTGATTCTTCAGTGAATTTCTGAGTGTCAGTATTTATCAGTGTGGAGAGTACTCACTGAGGAACTGCCTTGTACCGTCCTTTGCGTTATTCCATTTGGCAGAGAACTTTACGGATCCTCTTACCTCAGCTCTTGTTTTATGGGTTAATAACTTGGTGTCCAAGGCCACCCAGCGAGATGGGAAGAAAGTAGGACTAGAATTGAGTTCTCTTCTCTCTCTGTGTTCTTTAGTGTATTTTACTGCTCCCTGCTTTTTTCAGATATTCATATACTTCACTAGTGTTATAATAGCACTGTTTCTGATATACTTTATCTAGATTCAAATCAGTTTTCCTTCCCCCCCAAAATTCTTTGCTCTATGAGTTTATGTTATTGACTACATAATCATGTGGGGGGTTTGTTTTTATTTTCTATCTTTTCTATTTTAGATGCAGCAGTTCTTGGGAAGACCCATTGTGAAAGAATCTTTCTTTAGACCCATACTCACTGTTCCTCAAATGCCTGCCGTTTGTTCTGGAATCGTCTCTGCATCTGGTCAATCTAGATCTCCCTTGGTACAAAACTTCCTTCGTAGAACAGACATTAACTAGTCCATTGTCACAGTGGACTCCCAGAATGAATGTCTTCTCTTTGTTGATTTGTTTAATAAAGTAAATAATGATGATAATTGAATGAATATGTCCATGAGGCACTGTGTTAAGTGCATTACGTATATTAACTATTTCATTAAGTAATAGTAGTTTAGTTTTTAGATACAAAGATAAATCTGATATTATAGTAGAGAATTCTTAGTTTTGCTTCTAGAACAGATGGGGTGAGATTGATAATATTAAGAGTTTATATTTAGCATGGTTTTTGGGTAGGTTGAAAAGCAAAGAAGCCAAGTCACATTATGCCACAAAACAAAAAAGTTTTTATACATAGATACATATGTGTATATTGTAGGACAGTGTTTATCTATAAACAGGTAATATAAATAGTATCACCCTGAAACATGTTATACTGCAAAGTTACAAATTTTCCTAGTTACAAAGAGCCAGATAAGCTTTATGAGAACCTGAAGGAGCAGGAGAGAAGTTTAAAATGATTAGGATTGTCAGTTGTAATCTTGGTCAAGGTATACTTTTTATTAAAAAACCTCACAGGAGATTGATGTTTAAGATAATTAATGAAAGATTCTCTAATCTTGAGTTTTTCATAACTGCCTCCTAGTGAATTGAGGTTTATTCTGTACCTGTATATTGCTGACAGACTCCCTTTGAAATGTATAGTCAAATAGATTTACTTACTTGTATAGAGGCCTCTCTACAAGCGAATATGTATCTAAGGTTTAACATGTTTACTAAGCAACACATTTTTTTTTAATCACCTTGATATTACAGTGTTGCTGAGGTGTTTTGCTCCTGCAACATTCTATGAGGATCTGTAAAATTTTAAAGTACCTCAGCCTTCTAATAGGATTAGTTTCTGATTCCTCTAAAAAAGCTTGGACACTGAGGCAAACTCAGATTTCTGGGGCTATTCTGCTCTTTCTCTGACTTACTAGGCTTTGTATGAGTAATTTCAGTGGCTGTTAGTAGTTGCTAATTTTTCATAAGTAGTAACCATACATTTTAAAATAATCTGTAATCTTAGATAGAAGATACTTTGTTTATAATTATCCTAATAACCAGATAAAGCACTTAACAATATTTGCACATTGATATTAATTAATTAGAAACTTAATGGTTCTAGGAAAGAACTCTCATAAAATACAGGGACATTTTTGTCTGATGATTTCATGGCTCTGAGCTGTCACTCAGCCTCCATGTACCACCTGTGTGACGTTTGGAGACATTGGCAGATAGTTCAGCAGTATTCTCATCTTTATTTAGTTGTTTGAAATTAAATTTTATTGTTTGCTTTTTATGATGAATAATTTTATCTTATTAGATATTTATTATTAGTAATTTTATTAATTACTTTTATAATTAGAAAAATATAATACACATAGTATATACAAAATATATAATATATACAGTAGAAAGCAAAACTACCCTGTTGTTGAATCCTAGAAAATAATCACAGTTTATGGGTTATTTTATATCTTACAGTCCTTTTTCTATGCATACACATTTGAAAAATTTTTTTTCATTTTTCATCTCTTAACTTTTAATGATAATTTGCTGATTCATTTCATTATATTTAAGGAAGGGGGAGAACATAAAGAAAACTGAATCGATTAGGCAGGAGAGCAACTGGTTGAACTAGACACCAAGAATTAGAAACACCTATACTCAAGTGCATAATTTTTGTACTCCTTGCTTAATTAAAATTTTACCAAACTATATCCTTTAAAAATGATGCTAGCCGTGTGACCATGAATTTAGATTTCCTTCACAGGGCCTACCATATATTCAGAACAGTAGGACTTTTTTTTTTTTTTAATTTATTTTTTTTTTCCATTTATTTTTATTAGTTGGAGGCTAATTACTTTACATCATTGCAGTGGTTTTTGTCATACATTGAAATGAATTAGCCATGGATTTACATGTATTCCCCATCCCAATCCCCCCTCCCACCTCCCTCTCCACCCGATCCCTCTGTATATTATCTAGGGTGAAACAGATCACCAGCCCAGGTTGGGTGCATGAGACAAGTGCTCGGGCCTGGTGCACTGGGAAGAAGACCCAGAGTGAAAAATATTTTAATATGAGTTCTACCATAAATGCTGTGCCATAGACTTTTTAAAAATTACATATATTATGGATATTTCTTATGCTCAGACATAGAGATCTATTTTTAAGGACTTGATTAGATATGCTACAGTTTGTTTACTTATTCCCCTATTAACAAACGAGGTTGCTGTCAGAAATGCACACAGTATTTCTGTTTGTTTGTAATTACTGAGACTAGTATGTGCCATTTTAAAAATAAAGGTAAACATATATAAATAATTAGAAATATTGTTGTGCTGGTTAAGGAAAAAAACTTGTAAAAAGGGAACATGCATGTCCCTTTACTGTACCCATCTCCTGAGGCATGGAGATGCCATGTTGACGTGGAACTCTGCTTCCCCATAACTGAAGCTGATGGCATGACTGTGCTTCTTACAGATGACTCGCATAGCCTGGACACTGCCAGCTCCTGTGGCAGAAGCTGTGCCCCCCAGTGCAAGTCTAGGACGTGACCCCCTCGTGATGGATTGGGAGAAGGTTACAGAGAGGCTGAAAACCGCCTTTCCACAGCAGACCAGGTAGCGTGGTCTCTCTTAGTGTTGTGAACAGACCATACTACAGTTCCCATAGCCATAATTATGCAATGGAACATTTCAGAGAGACAATACCCACCCACCCCACTCCCAACACACAGAAGGTACAGGTATTTCCTAACCATCACCTTGGTAAGGAAAATGACATTCATTAAGAAGGGATAGTTTTCAGTATAAATGCTAAACCTCTCCATGAAAATTATTAGTTTTAAGTCACGAGGGAATGAACTTTTGAATTTAGGTTTGCTTGTTTAATGAAAGTACAACTAGTTATAAACCTATAATGCCACTAGCTCCAATAATTATCTTAATAACCTATTTCCAAAGTGAATTTTAAGTTAAGTGTATGCCATATAAGTACAAACATAATCAGATTTCCTTAATTTATTGAGGGTTCTTATGGTTTCTTTGTTAAGGAACACAGTTAAATGCAAGAAATCATTATTTTACTGTGCTTTTCACAGTTCTGACTTTTGCAGAAAACTATTTAATTCTATTCCTCCAGAAATGAAATATCTTTAATCTTGTATCAAATGAATAATTCTAGTTTTCACCAGCATTTTCATTTGAAGACCAATGCTTTTATTTAACAGTATATACTATTATATTTCATGGTTATATTATAGTTTTGTAAACATAATGGTGAATAGAAAATGAAAATAGAATTTTAATATAGTTGTGGTGAAAAATGTTTATAGAAAATAAATAGTAAATCAAAGATAGTTTTATAAGGCTGGTGACATGACATTTCATTTGAGAAAAATATTTTATCATCCTACCCTGTCCTACCAAAATGTGAATGCAGACTTTGAGTCAGTTGGCCATGGGAATTGAAAAATAGCATGTTGATTAAAATACTCCTAGGTTTCTTTATCACATAATGTGTCTTTTAGTCTTTGCTTTCCTTCTCTGTTAAATATTTATTTTCTGTTTATGAATTTTATAAAAGTAGAATTGATAGCACAATGATCGAGACTGATAGTAACATAATTGTAAAGAAGTATTTTAGCCTCTCTCGAGTAAGAGAACATTAAGAAGTACAACATGCAGAGGCTCAGTACGTAAATAAGTATTTCAAACTTCATTTTCACAAGTGAGGTTTTATAGACAGTTAAAATCTCATTGGGGGAAGAAAATAAATACTGAACTTTATCAATCACGAGCACATTAGTAAGAATTTTCATTCTGGTTTAAGATAAATGCAGATGGACCCATGATCACGTTTTTAGATCAGAGATCCAAAGGGTCACGTCTGTATGGTGGATATTATCCTATGATAGGATTTTTTTTTTCATTNGCTGCGATGAACATTGGGGTGCACGTGTCTCTTTCGGATCTGGTCTCCTCAGTGTGTATGCACGGGAGTGGGATTGCTGGGTCATATGGCAGTTCTACCTACGATAGGATTTTATATCTCCTTTGGAGGGCACATCTTCAAGGCAGTAGGAAAATGACCACTACTCTTTCCTTGATGTTTTCCAGAAAGGAGCTTACAGATTTCGTACGGAAATTGAAGGATACTCATGGGAAGTCCTTATCTGGACTGACATTTGATGAAATTGTTCACAAGATTTCCCAATTTATTGACCCCAAGAGATCTCAGGTAAAAAAAAAGAAAAGCAACTAAACAACAGAAAACAAAAAGTAAAACTGTATCTCCTGACCCTTATCTTTAGTTAGCTGTACTAATTATCTCCATAACATGATCAGGAAATCAATTATAATCATATTAAATCATATATTAACATTAAACAATTAAACTTGACAAATGGCGTTGGAAACACCACCTGATCATTCTAGAATAAAACTGAGCCTTTTGAAATTTAGGTTATTTTGAATATTTCAAAAAGGAGACTTTTTTTTTCTAATTTTCTGCAAAGACTTATTTTAATTAAAAGAGTACCTAGAGTTACTTTTGTTTTTACCTGGTTCTTAATCTATAAGTAATATTGCCAGTAATTGCTTCAAGATTTCTTATGAACCTGATTATTAACCTTTTTGTTATTGTTCAGTCGCTCAATTGTGACCCCATGGACTGCAGCACACCAGGCTTCCCTGTCCTTCACTATCTCCCAGAGTTTGCTCAAACTCTTGTCCACTGAATCGGTGATGCCATCCAACCATCTCATCCTCTGTGCACCCCCTTCTCCTGCCCTCAATCTTTACCAGCAACAGGAGTTTTTCCAGTAAGTTAGCTCTTTACATCAGGTGGCCAAAGTACTAGATCCTCAGCTTCAGCATCAGTCCTTCCAATGAATATTCAAGGTTGATTTCCCCTTTTGCTAAATTCCACTGTAGCCTATTCTATGGTAGTCTGTCAGTTCTTCCTGTCTTATGCAATTCTAAAAAAATAATAAGTATGATATTCTTATTTTCAGAGTCAGGAAAAATCAGCACCAAATGGTAATCGTGTTCCACCTAGCCATACTGCACCACAGGCTAATGCTGCCCAGCCCTCGAAACCAACCCCAAGGTCCCTTGGTTCGCAGGGCTCTGTGACACAGGGAGGAGCCAATCGCTTGGTGAGACTGGACTGTTGGTTCTAAATACACTTAACATTAGGAGCGAGAAGGGGCTGAATTTAACCTCATGCGTTTTCCCTAGGATGAAGAGGAAGAAGAGCCTTGCGTGATCTGTCATGAGACTCTCTCTCCAGATAACCTCTCAGTTTTGCCTTGTGCACATAAATTCCATGCTCAGGTAAACTTACCTGTTTAATATTTTGCCATTAATCAATTAAGTGAAATTCATGCTACATTTCTTGAAATCATATACACATATGATCATCCACTGTGTCATGAATTTCACTGGGTATTCACGTAGTGGATAGAGTTGATGTCTTTCCCCATACCTAGCCATGGATTGCATTGTTTTCTCAGGTCTTGATATACCTACCAGGAGAAGGGGACCGTGATGAAATTTAATGGGCAGAGTGGCATTTCTTTTGATGAACAGAACTGGAAGGAATGTTGATTGACATGACAGTTGACAGTTTAGCAAAGTGACACTTCACCTTGCCTTGTTCTGAGTAGTGTTCTTTGTTACCACCTAATGATGGCCAAGTGCCGTTACAGCACATAAGAATTACCTTACCAGTCTGTCCAGGCTTCTGTATCTGCTTTTGAAGATGCCAAGGCTTGAGTTTTTTGTTTGTTGTTAATTTTTATTGACGTATAGTTGCTTTACAATGTTATGCTAATTTCTGCTGTACATCTTTGAATCAGCTATACATATATGTCCTCTTTTTGGATTCCCTTCCCGTTTAGGTCACCACACAGCATTGAGTAGAGTTCCCTGTGCCGCACAGTAGGTCCTCGTTAGTTGTCTGTTTCATACGTGGTAATGTGTGTGTTTCACCCCCACTCTCCCAGTTCAGCCCACCCTGCCTCCCCCCGTGGGGTCCATACGTCTGTTCTCTATGTCCGTGTCTCTATCTCTGCTTTGCAAATAGACGCATATGTACCATTTTTCTAGATTCCACATATATGCATCAATAGACGATACTTGTTTTTCTCTTTCTGACTTCCTTGACTTGTATGACAGTCTCTGGGTCCATCCCTGTCTCTGCAGATAGCGCAGTTTCATTCCTTTCTGTGGCTGAGAAATATCCCACTGTATGCATGTACCACATCTTTATCCATTCCTCTGTTGATGGGCATTGATTGAGGTTGTGTCCATGTCCTGGCTATTGTAAATGGTGCTGCAATAAGCATTCGGGTGCATGTATCTTTTGAAATTATGGTTTTCTCCAGGTATATGCCAGGAATGGAACTGCTGGGACATATAGTAGTTTTTTTTTCCCTAGTATTTTTAAGAAATCGCCTTGCTATTCTCCATAGTGGCTATATCAGTTTTTATTCCCACCAATAGTGCAAGAGGGTTCCCGTTTCTCCACACCCTCTCCAGCATTTATTGTTTGTAGTTTTTTTGATGATGACTGTTCTGACTGGTGTGAGGTGATAGATACATCACTGTAGTTTTGATTTGCATTTCTGTGATAATTAGTGATGTTGAGCATCTTTTCATGTGCCTCTTGACCACCTGTGTATCTTCTTTGGAGAAGCATCTATTTAAATCTTCCACCCATTTTTTGATTGGGTTGCTTTATTTTTATATTGCTGTTTGTACAAACTTGAGCTGTTTGTACATTGTGCAGATTAATCCCTTGTCAGTTGCTTCATTTGCAAATATTTTCTCCCATTCTGAGTGTTGTCTTTTCATCTCGTTTGTAGTTTTCTTTTGATGTTAGGAAAATGTGAGGCTGGCACATCTTTTGTTAATTCTTGGCATTTATAGATTAGCAACATAGATTAACTTCTGATGTTGTTGCTCTGAAAGTGCTATTGATATATAGTTTATGATCCGAGTCTTCTGTTGTGGGAGTGCAACATGACACAAGAGAAGGTGATCTTACACAAGAAAGGCTTCTCAGGGAAGTGAACAATAGCCACCTTATTCAAGCCATATCTGTAAAACATCATTGCAAAGACAGTGTGAGACCTGGTACAGAGCTATATTTTTCATCTGCTCTGTTAAGAGATATGCACAGAGTGACTAATCCTAAATGATCTCCAGATAGATACTTTAGTTCAGTCGCTCAGTCATGTCCAACTCTTTGCGACCCCATGAACCACAGCACACCAGGCCTCCCTGTCCATCGCCAACTCCTGGAGTTTACTCAAACTCGTGTCCATTGAGGTGGTGATGCCATCCAGCCATCTCATCCTCTGTTGTCCCTTTCTCCTCCCACCTTCAATCTTTCCCAGCATCAGGGTCTTTTCCAATGAGTCAGCTCTTTGCATCAGGTGGCCAAAGTGTTGGAGTTTCAGCTTCAACATCAGTCCTTCCAATGGNTGATGTACTCTGCATATAAGTTAAATAAGCAGGGTGACAATATACAGCCTTGATGTACTCCTTTTCCTATTTGGAACCAGTTTGTTGTTCCATATCCAGTCTGATTTTCCTGAAGATCTATGTAGAAAATAAATGTTTCACAAACTTATTTTATCCTTTGCCATTGCTCATTGAATAAAAAGCAAGTAATTCATTTAGGTTGCTGTCTAGGGACAGAGTTAATGGGCCTCATGTCTACTGCCTATTCTTCATACTCTTAATACTCTCTCATCTGGCTGGGCTCTCCATTATTCATTCAGGTAAAATGATTTGTTTTTGGAGAGTCAGTATTCAAGCAAATAACTTAATAGATAGTTCATAGCCAAAGAGTACTACCATTATCAGCAAAGAAAGGCAATCTTAAAAGTATACCCATTATCTCAAGATTTTAACTTCAAACACCATAAGTACTTGATACAACATATTTGTGACATTTGTATATTTAGATATGACTTTTTCTAGATTATCAATTAGAATAATAGATAGTAAATAGAGAAAAACATAGCAGGTTTCCCCCAACCTCCTTGTTAGGAAAAAGTGCTAGTCTATCTGAAGATTGGGGTTGGAGAAAGGAACTTATTAGAGTAAACTGGCCGAAAGGTGTTGTCCTGTTACCAACTATGTTGCTCAGCAAACCATGGACAAAGTGCCTTCACTGCAGCAGTTTTCATGAAAGAAAGTGAAAGTGAAGTCGTTCAGTTATGTCCGACTCTTTGCGACCCCAAGGACTATAGCCTACCAGACTCCTCTGTCCATGGGATTTTCCAGGCAGGAATACTGGAGTGGGTTGCCATTTCCTTCTCCAGTTTTCATGGCAATCCACCACATAAGGCTCTACGATCTATCAGAAGACATATTGGTTGGCAATCCTGATGTATAGAGTAACACCTGCCTCTGCTAGGCTAAATCTGAGTGACTGACATTAATCTTTTTGCTCCTTAGTGCATTAGACCTTGGTTGATGCAACAGGGGACATGCCCAACCTGCAGACTCCATGTTTTGCTACCAGAAGAATTTTCAGGTCACCCCAGCCGGCACTTGCCCAAGATCTGATTCAGCAGGGTGACTATGCAAAGGAAGTTCAATTTTCAGACTCCAGAATTTAGTTTTCCATTTATTTGAGCTGATAGTGTGAGTGATATGAAGCACTATGTTCTTCAGTATTATTCCAAATAAGCTGGTTAATCTCATCAAAGCTGCAGCCAAAGAGGAGAGGACAAATCTTCAGGACTGTGAACTGAACTGAAAAGGTTTAAAGAAGATAAAATTTTGAAAGTTACATTAGATTTGCCCTTATTTTAGTAAATATTTTCTTCCAACTTAAACGTGATTACTGTTAACATGTATCTTAGAATGTCTTCTCTTTTCCTTATTCCTCTCATCCTTTACTTTCTCCTGAATATGCTATACTTTAATTTCCTGAGCTAAATGTAAACAAGAGTAAGAAGATTCCTCAGATTTTAGTGTTCTTTTTAACTTTTAAAATTACTTATGAAATATATGGTATTTATTTATATTTTATCTCTATCTTCCCCATTCTTTCCTATTCTCTAAAATATGTACCTGTGAATAGATATGGGCTACTTGAGGGTGAGGACCAACCACTGATGTCTTGGAGCTGGCTTATATACTGTACTGGTTTGTGAGAGATGATTCCTAGTTTCAGGAATTTTGTGAAACAGTTATTCAAACTGTTGTTAGCTTGAAATCTGGTATAGTGGGAGTATTTTACACCACAGAAATTGGTGAATGCTATAGATAAGGGCTTTTTTTTCCTTCCCCAAGAGCTGGTTATTAATGCTTTACCAGCATACCACTGGGGCTGTGCCTGATGGTTCTGACTGCTCTCAATGTCTTGCTCAGTAGATACACCATAAATAGCGCCCCAAATCAGAAATCAGGAAGCAGTAAGAAAAATAGTATGCAAATTAAATCACTTACTCATTTGAATAACTATTTGTAAACATGCTCATTGGACTTTAATCATTTATGCTTTGGAGGAGTTTTTTTTTCCAGCCTTAAAAGTTTCTAATTTCACTTTCTCATGCATGGGTGGTGTCCTGTTTGTGTGTAGTCTCTTATGACAGAGTTGACACCCACTGAGTTAAGTGGCACATTTAAAGCTTGTCACTGAGAACTTTCATTCTTAGAGGTCAAAAATCTATTTTGAAATTAGTACTGTGTAAATGTTGTGTTGTACATGTCTCTAGCTACAAAATTATTAATAAAAGAATTCAGTTACCTGGTAAGAGAAATGTTACTTTGTTCATATTATTTTCCATAAATTAACGAAATTCATTCTGTGAGTAAGTGTTTCCTGACTCAGCAACTATTTTACCTGTATATTTCACTGTAAATGTATCTTGAAGTTGTTTTAAATCTCTACTTAAAATTACTATTTCTGAAATTGTATGCTGTTTTCTTCTCTAATGAGAATAGACTGGAAAATGTGGAAGGAAATACCCCAAAGTGAAGGCAGTCATCTAGACTTGTTAAGTGCCAAAAAAGTCTTAGAATTATACAATTTAGAACTTACAGGACCTTTAATAATTATCCCATCTAACACCTCAAGGTCATGGTCATATAGCAGATTACCTTGTAAAACATTTTTTAGTGTATGTTTACAATTGTATACACACTTTCATGTGGGAAAGAATAAATGTTTCTTAATTGAATGCCTATTATTTTATTTGTGTTTATCGCTGTAATTGTATCCTACAACTACTTGAAATCTCTTTCAAACATCTCTTTCTGTTTAATTGTGCTTAAATTTTATCTTCTCTTGTGAGAAAGGGTAGGAAAATATACAAGAAGTCAGTCATCTGTACTTGTAAAATATCAAGAATATCTTAGAATCATAGAATGTCGGAGTTTATAGGGTCTTTAATGATCCTCTGGTCTGTGGCCTCATTCTACAGGAACACCTTGCCCTAGATCATGCGGTTAAATAGTGGCTGAGCCAGTCCTAATACTTGAGAGAGTCCTGATACGCAGTGAGTCACATGTTTCCTCTATCAGTTCAAGCTGCAAGGCTGTATTGGTGCTGACCTGCTGTTCTTAGCTCCAAAGATGGGGCCAGGGAACTTAACAGGGTAGCTGATACACAGTGAGAATGTAGTAGGAACATGCTCTTGAATGTCATGTCCAACTCTGCAGATGCTAAAGGTAATGGGATTTTCCTTTTTGAGGTTTAACAGTAAAGACAGCTGTAGCGGTCATCCCATGTAAACAGTGACTGCTGTCGCGCCTGTGATTGCTGAGGGACCCGGAGTGCCACACTGCACAGAAACCCAGTGAGACGAGCAGTGATAGTCACTTCACAAGCAACCTGTACACCACCTGTAATGTCACATCACTGCAGCTGCTGTTGATACATCTTACAGCATTTTCCTTTATATTCATTGTCCGTGTGTATAACAACATTTTCCAGCTTTTATGGGACACCTTCCTTGATCAAATGGTACTTCGTGTGATCCACTAATAACTTTTAAAGTGGATACTATCCTTTTTATTTTGCAGATGATGAAACTGAGGCTCAACTAAGAGGGTATACTGTGTCTGAGGTCACAGCTGTGAAGTGGCGTTCTGGGATTTAAATGCAAATCTCTGTGCCTTAGCGAGTATTCTCTCTTTAAGTTCTTCATAGTGGTCTCCCCGTTCTAGACTGACTGTATACACAAATATTATTTTAAATAATACACTTCAAAATAAAATGAAACAAATGGTACATCTGATTATTTTGGGCTATGAACATGGTATTGAATACATTAAAAAATATACAATAGTGTACAGTATGCTAAGAAAAGTTTGACTTTTCCCTCCAATGTCTTGGTTTGCTTGAGATGGTCCCAGTTAATGCCTGTTGTCTTGACATATTAATAGTGCTCCCCTGTACTCTCAGCAGTGTCCTAGTACAGATGATTAATTTTATTTTATGGTTAATTTTTTTTTTTTTTTACCAGATTCAAAATTTAGCAAAACTCCTCTACATTTATAAAATGCTCCTGGAATACCTTAATCCCTTATCACATAGCCTCTCAGGTAAGAACCATCCACACACACAGCCTCTCGGGTAGGGAACCATCCACACATAGATATGATATGAAAACCAGCGGTCATGAGAAGAGAGTGCAAATGCAGGATATTGGAAATTCATTTGAAATTAAAGACCATCAACTTAAAACAGTCGTGTGTGTGTGTGTGTGTGTGTGTGTGTGTGTGTGTATATATATAGCCTGCTACATTAAAACCTTATGGTAACTGCAAAGCAAAAATATACAATAGATAACAAAAAAGCAGTCCAAACACAACACTGCAGATAATCATCAAATCACAAGAGAAGAGAACAAAAGAGGAAGGGAAGAGAAAATACCTATAAAAACAAATCCAAAACAATTAATAAGATAGCAATAGGAACATATAATAATTACCTTAAACAAAAATGGATCAAATATTTCAACCAAAAGACACAGATTGGCCAAATGGACACAAAAACAAGACATATATATATGCTGTCTACAAGACAGCAGACGATGTCTGCTTCAGATCTAAGGACACATACAGACAAAGTGGGGAGAGTGAAAAGTTTCCATGCAAATGGAAATCAGAAGAAAGCTGGAGTAGCAGTACTCACATCAGACAAAACAGACAAGGAAGGACACTACATAATGATCAAGGGGTCAATAATCCAAGAAGAAGATACAACAATCATAAATATGTATGTATCCGACATAGGAGCACGTCAACATAAAAGGCAAATGCTAAAAGCCATGAAGGAGAAATCAATAGTAACACAATAATAGTGGGTGACTGTAACACCCCATTTTCATCAATGGACAGATCATTCAGACAGAAAATGAGTAAGGAAACATAGACCTTAAAAGATGCATTAGACCGGAGGGACCTAACTGATATTTATAGAGCATTCCATCCAAAAGCAGCCAAATGAATATGCATTATTCTCAAGTGCACATGGAACACTCTCCAGGAACTAACTGCATCCTGGGCCAAAACGTGAGCCTTGGTAAATTTAGGAAAACTGAAATTATATCAAGCATCTTTTCTGATCACAAGACTATGAGATTAGAAATCAACTACAAGAAAAAACTATAAAAACACAAACATGTGGGCTGAACCATGTGTTATTCAACCACATGGGTCACTGAAGAAATCAAAGAGGAAATCAAAAAATACCTAGAAGCAAATGACAACAAAAAGCCCAGTTATCTAAAACCTACGGGATACAGCAAAAGCAGTTAGTTGTGAGTTTGTATCACATACAGTCTCGCCTCAGGAAATAAGAATCTTGAATAAAGAACCTAACCTTATTTAGGGCTTCCCTGGAGGCTCAGACGGCAAAGAATCTGCCTGCCATGTGGGAGACCTGGGTTCAGTCCCTGGGTTGGGAAAACCCCCTGGAGGAAGGCATGGCAGCCCACCGCAGTTCTCTTGCCTGGAGAATCCCATGGACAGAGAAGCCTGGTGGGCTACAGTCCATGGGGCCGCATAGAGTCAGGCATGGCTGAGCAAGTAAAGCAGAACATGACATTTTAAAAACCCTGGTGAAAGACTAAATTCCTTCCCACTGGGCTCTGTAATGAGGCAAGGATGTCTGCTATCACAGCGTCAACTCAATATTGTATTAAATGTTCTAGCCAGTGAAATTAAAAAAAAAAAGGCGAAAGGCATTCAGCTTGGAAAGGTAGAAGTAAAACCTTTTTAGTACACAGATGACATAAATATACGAAGAAAACTTCCATCTTCAGGGATTGAAACACTCAATACAAGGTCTCAATTCTCCCCCAGTTGATTTATAAATTCAACACAATCCCAGTTAAAATCCCAACAGACTTTTTTCATAGAAATCTACAAGCTGGTTATAAAATTGATTTGGAAATTCTAAGGACCTAACATAGGCAAAACAAAGAACAAAGCTGAAGAAATTTCACTACCTGAATTCTACACTAACTTCACAGTTACAGTAATCAAGACAGTGAGGTAATATAGTATGTCAAAATAGAAAAATCCATCAATGGGAACAGAGACCAGAAATAAATCTTTACATACATGGACAACTTATTTTGACCAAAATTTAAAGGCAATTCAGTGGAAAATGCTAGTGCTTTCAACAAATGGTAGTAGAACAATTAAATATCCAAATAAAAAAATAAGCTTTGATCCATACCTTGCACCTTGCATTATACCATAGATCTCAATGAAATATTTTAAACTAAAAATCCCAGAAGAAAATATAGGACGAATTTTTTGTGTCCTTGTCCTTAAATACCAAAGGATTCTTAAATATATTTAACACCAAAAGAGCAATTTGCAAAAGGAGAAACTGATAAATCAGACTTCATCTGAAAGAACTACAGTTCAAAAGATTCTGTTAAGAGAATAGAGAGACAAGCCACAGACTGAGAAATGTTTTTAAATCACATAAAGTACATTCATCCAGTACATATAGAGTACTTTCAAAATGCAATAGATAATTCCATAAAAAATGGGCCCAAAATTAGAATGATACACACTCATTGCAAAATGACCATACAAAAAGATGTTCAATGTCATTAGTCATTAGGAAAATGCAAAATAAAATCACAATGAGATGCCACTATCCATTTATGAGAGTGTCTAAAAAAGTTGAAATTACCACATATTGGTAAATATGTGGAACATATGGAATTCTCATATGCTGCTTTCAGGAATATAAAACCTCACTTTGGAAAACAGTTTGAAATTTTTGTATAGTTGAACATACACCATCTACAGACCCAGCCGTTCCACTCCTAGGTATTTATCCAAGAGAAGTGAAAGCGTAAGTCCACACAAAGACTTGTAGGGAACTGTTCATGGAAGCTCTATTTGTGTTACCTCTAAACTGAAAGTAGCCCAAACCTTCCACTGAGATTTTTTGCTCACAACACTGCTGACACCAAATATGTGGATTTTTTGCCTCACCACAGTTTTCTAATGCTCTGGTCACTAACTGGGTGTCCTAACATCCAGTTCAATTCTGACACTACCTACCCGGGGTTAGCACAGACCTCACAGATTTAAGGGCTCAGACCCACAAGACGACACCAACTTCAGATGCCGGGCACAAGTCCCTGGACTCCCATATTTCTGACCGACTGGCTATAAATTGGGGGTTTCTGTGACCCAATTCCTCAGGGTCCGTAATTGCCAGAATGGCTCACAGAACTCAGGAAAGCTCTTTCCTTAACTATTATTACCCATTTAGTATAAGCAATACAACTCAGGAACAGCTAGATGGAAGAGGTGAACAGCATAAGGTGTGGGGGAGGATAACAGAGCTTCTGTGCCTTCTCTGGGTGTGGAACCCTCCTAGCACCTCTGTTCACTAACTCGGCTCTCTGAACCTATCATTTAAGGGGTTTTACATGGGCATGATTAATTAAATCACTGGTTATTGGTGAGTACTTCAGTCCTCCAGTCCCTTTCCCATCCTTGAAGAAATGAGATCAGGACACTGAGATTCCAACATGTCTTTCTGGTGACCAGCCCCGATCTTGAAGCTATCCAGGGACCCCTCAGCCAAGTCATCTCATTAGCATGCTGAGAAACTTATCATTCAGACAATTCTCAGGGTAGACCTGGAGACCAAAGACCAAACATATGTATCTCATTATATCACAACCCCTCACTATGTAAA